ATCAGAGAAGCAGCAGTGGTGGAAGGATCTTTAATGCTTTCCATCCATGATTTTTTTTTCTAGTCAGTGTCCTTCCCTCCACTCATACTGCTTAGCTGCACAGGAAGAAAAACTACAGCTACATGCATTTCCCCAAAATGCAACTTGTAAGGGGCATTTAGATTGGGAGAATGGTGAGGGTTCTGTAAACCCAGCACCCAGTAAAAGCCAGAGACCCCCATAGCTGCTTTAAATGATAAGAAAGAAAGCTAATTAGGGAAACATACTTGATACATCATTTCAAACAAACAAATTCCATAAATAATACAAATGCCTGTTGTTATATAACAGTACTGTAAAATCTGTATTAATTTGCCCGTGGAAAGACTTCCCATTACAGAGTCCTCCTAAAGTCTATCCTTCTGCAATGGAAACTTGTTGAGGATGGAGGGATGTTGTACAGCTGAAAGCTACTTACTTCTCCCCTTCAAGTACACCCTTGAGAACACAGCTGAGAAATCTATCCTTAAAAAAAGAGAAGTTAATCCTGTCTTCCTCTGGGATATTCACAGAATACCAACAGATACCTACCAAACGCTGGGAATTTTTAATTTGTGGAACTTGACCCACCTTAACCTTGTGTGCTTGGAATTTTCAAACATGGAGGAAAGGATTGGTTTGCTGGCTGGCGCTGTCACACAGAGATTTTGCTCTCTTGGGGACCTCGATATATAATCTGAAGCAGGAACTAGACACAGGGGGAGTGTAACCCTATCAGTTCTGATGGGCTTCTCAGCAACTTCTGATACCTTCTACCATGTGACCCTTATGGTGGGCTGTAAGCCACACTTTTGTAGTGGGTCCAGTATTTCATGGAAGAGTTGTTTGAGAAGGTGGCATTGGTTAATTCCTATGAACCCACCCTTAAGGTTACCCCTAGGTAGAATTCCATTTGATATTTCTTAAATAACTTGAGCAATGAGTATGCAGTAGGTTATAATATTTGTGTGATGTTTTAGATATATGCTGCCCATGAAGTTCTCTTCAGGTCTGGCAAGATGACCAATGATGAGCAATCTTCTTGTTTTATTTCTGTCAATTATGAAAATTGGGTCACCTTGCCAAAATCCTGGAGCATTTCTGTGTTTCAGACAAAAAAAGCAGTCCCGATTATCTCATCACAATTACCTAACCGCAAATGTTTTTCTAAAGAAGTTCCTTGGAAGTCCCATCACTTACAAGTGCTAAACTGGACTTAAGAAAAGCAGAGTCATGTGGTAAAATGAAATCTGGAAAAATGTGGGTTGGGTAGATCCGCCTAGCACCAACACTGTGAACTGAGAAGGGTCCATCTGAGTGCTCTGACATGGTTTGAAAATACTGGGAAGAGCAACCAACCTGCTCATGAAAGTTTTTCAGTAGCTCAGTAACTTTTCAGCTGAGTATGTACCAAGTGTCTAAATTGAGCTTGTGGCCAGCTTCAGTGAAACCCCCTCAAGTTGCATCACACAGCATTAATTCTCTTGAATCTGCACCAATGCAGTTGCGATGTAGGGCCTAACTCCTAAATGATTAATAAATAATTCCTAGATTCAGATGGGTTTCATTTTGGCACCCCTCCTCTGTTTATTGTTGATGTTGTTGTTGGTTGGTTGTTTGCCACCCGAGTTGCCCCACCCACTCTGGGCAGCTGCCAACAAAATATAAAAACATCATAAAATATCAAGCATTAAAAACTTGAGGTGTCTTCTAAAAGTCATATGGTTGTTTATCAGTTTGTCATCTGATGGGAGGGTGGGCACGAATACTGAGAAGGCCCTCTGCCTCATTCCCTGTAACTTCACTTCTCACAGTGAGGGAACTGCTAGAAGACCCTTGGAGCTGGACCTCAGTGTCCAGGCTGAATGATGGGGGTGAAGATGCTCCTTCCACATATACAGGACTGAGGCCATTTAGGGCTTTAAAGGTCAGCGCCAACACTTGGACTTATGCTTGGGAGCCAGTGTAGATCCTCTTTATTAAATAAGAACACCAATGTTTCACACATGTACAGTGCCATCTATTCTTAAAATTAGTGGCCATGTTATATCTTGTGTGTTTTTTAGAGTAATTGAATAAGATGGGAGATTATTTCAATAATTTTTCTTTTTCCAGTGTGAGTTGGGGGAGAGGCAAACGTGGGCAAAGGAACTGGATACTCCAGTCTCCCTAGATAATCTTGCTCCTGAAAACCAGTTTCATTAGTCTTCAATTCATTTGCAAGACACGCTAACCTGACATTTTATCCATACCTGAACTTGAAAGTACCTGAGCAAAATAAGCAATGTGCTGTTTGATAAGTCAAATTCACCTCGTCAATTGATACAAATGCAAAACTCAACAACAATATTTGGCCTCTGAGGACACGATGACCTTGTTTTTCAAGCATTCAACCATCATTCTTCACCTGACTAAAATGTAAGAGTGTCATACCATCCTTCCAGCATCTTTCAACATGCGGCTTTTTTTCCAGGTAAAGCTTGCTAGCGGTTTTGCATGGAAGGATTAAGACCATGCATAGTAAAAAGCTTTAATTTACACCTCACTGCCTCTATTCTAAAGTGTTTATTTTATCTGTTTTATAAAAATTGCATAACAGCTTACCGTCATAATATTTTTCTGGTTAGTAAAAAAGGACAAGTCGCATTCTTTCTTTTAAGGGCAAAGCTTGGAGAAAGGAATCTTAAACGGATTTAAACTCAGCAGGCTTGCTGGGACAGAAGGGCTACCAAAGGAAGAATTTGGTACAAAGCAGGCTAACTTGAAATCTAGAAATGCAATTTGATTAGAAATGCACCAAGAAGTCATGCCACATGACAGAATTCCATGCATTTGGTAGAAAATCTGGATTCATATAATTTGTATGATTTGGGTTTTGGTTTTTTTTAACATTTTTTTGTAAGCCACTCTGAAAACTTGGAGAGTTCAGGCACAAATCTTAAAAATAAAATAATACGTTCCCAAAAATTGTAGATGCATGCCTATTGCAGCTTCATATAAAGAAATCTGTGCAATATTAGAGGAAGCTGGGCATATGAAACAATATAATTGAATAATTGAATGTATTGTTGAAAATACGGGGGGAAATGCATTACAACGGGGGAAATTGGTTGCAAAAATATGCACATTAGTCAAAACTGCATATAAAAATGTGTTTATTAGAAGAAATTCACACTATATGGCTGATGCATTTTTTAAATTGCCACAAAAATATGGAGGACCGAATTTATGATTGTAAAGAAGAGAAACTGTGAGATCTAAAATTGGCAAAGCCTTCCATCCCTATCCTGAAGCCCATGCCCAGTTCCATAAGCCACAATTTAGGAGGCCAGGAAAGGTTGTCCAAACCAAGCCAGTATCAATGTGTGTGAATGCCTGTTTCTGTGTGAGAGAAAGTGTGCATGTGAGAGAGGGCATCAATCTACCCATATTTTTGGCTCGCTTACACTTGGCAGAACTGTTTCCTGCCAGAAACGGTTTCTTACTGCCAACCAATATCAAGGTTACTGTATAGGCCTCTCCTCAGCCCTGCTTGCACATTCTTGATGTGGTGATAGGTATTTGAGGCCTAGCTCATTCTGTTCTTTCCCTGCCCCAACCCACCCCAAAAAGAAAATGTCCAGCACTCAGTAGTTTAAATTGACTGAATCCTCCAGATGTGAGATACCAGCAAACTGGTTTTGAAGAAATACAGCCTAATACATCACTGTTTCATTCTCACAAGCCAGGGGTTTTCCTGGTCAAGCTGTTTGTTTTCATGGGTTAATACACTGTGAATAGAATTCGCCTTCCCTAGTTTTGGGCTGACCCCTCTTTTGGTCTCCAAGCTAAGACCACAAAAAAAGAAACAGAGATTTAATGGATAGTTGTCCTCTAAATTATCCAGCATTATATCTTTGAGAAAGGTCTGATTTAAAAGCAGATTGTCATTCGTAAAGTGAAACCAGTAAAAGGGAAGATGGATGTGTTCCTGAGCCCAGCAGTTGTTAACTAAGAGAGTCAGTTAGTGAGAAAGTTGGCTGTTCCTTGTGAGCAGGTTCCAAGAAGCTCTGTTCCTAACCCCATACCTCATTAATGTCTAATCCTGTAAGGTGTTAACAGAGTTTTTCCCTTTTCACTCAAATTAGCATGGGATCGAGGGACGGGGTAGGGTTTTTCCAGCGGTGATAAGGATCCTTTAGGGTATTTTTGCAAGGACATTGCCATAAGCAGAGTCCTAATTTACCCTGATCATGCTGCTCATGTGAGAATTGGGCTCCTTTTAGTGTGGTGCCAGTGTGTCCTCTGGGAGTTTGCCCAGAAGTGACCCATGAGCTGCTGAAGGTGATTCCCTACTCATAAACTATCCTGAGTTTTCTAAACAATGAAAGAAACTTGACTTCTGCTAAGGTGGAATATGTCAGTTTGCATTTCTTAGTATTGATCTGATGTGTAGAGATCTTTCCTATTCTAATTAATCCAGAGGGTTCTGGAAGCTTCTCTGTGTGCAAGAAACAAGCAGAAGGTTCATGATGTTTGGGTTATTCCTTCAGAGAAGCTGAGTACAGCTGGCTTAAACTGGTTCTGTTATCTCTTCTGTCAAGATCATGCTGACTATAATAGTAAGGCCAGAAGGAGCCTTGGTTTCACTTTCTCTTTCTATCGCTTTCCCTTCTGGTATGGTGTTCTGTACATAGTATGCTTAGTGTTAAGGTTTAGACTTATTATGAGTTATTGTAAGTTTAAGTTAAGTCTGCTGCAACTGGATTTCTTTTGGACAGTGCCAATCCTGAATGTTTTGGATTTGTGACCATTATTCTCATTTGCCTTCAGTAGCAGTAAAGCTCTGCTGGATGAAATATAATTGCCTCTGGTCTATTTTTGGGAATCCTGCAACATGTTCAAGTTTTTACTCTGCTAACTATACGTAGGAGTTCTGCTCTGGATCAACATTGAGTAGAATTTCATGAGAGAATGACCCTCCTGTTTCTTTATTATTCAAGGGACCTGAAACTGGACAATATTCTTCTGGATGCAGAAGGTCACTGCAAATTGGCTGACTTTGGGATGTGTAAGGAAGGGATCTTGAATGGAGTAACGACTACTACCTTTTGTGGAACGCCAGACTACATAGCTCCAGAGGTATCGCAGTTCATGCCTAAAACTATGGGGAAGTGTCTTCCATAATGCTGGCTTGAGCACAAAGGATCAGTTTGCCCAGTCCCCTCCATGCAACCATTTTGGGGTTTCTGCATGTTGGTGGCTGGGAAAACAGTCTCACAGAAACCTGGGGTCACCCTTGCCATCAGCCATGATGGGATTGCAGCCCTTCCAATGATTTCTGTGACACGTTGTCAGAGCAACTGGGATTGTAGGCACCAGAAAATTGAATTTTCTGGTATACTAGGAACAGAATGCTTGTAAACTGTAATTCCATCATTTAACTCTTTTCCTTATCAAGTGCCATGGAATATAACTTCACCCTGCTACTTTGGGATGGGTGGGAAATGTGGAAAATGAGATAAGCATGTCCACACTGTGCACAGTGCGGAAGGTGGAATCTCAAGGGCATTGTTGGAGGCTGACCCAGGGGGCCTAAGCCCCAGGCCATTCGTGCCAGGCCCCAATTACCCTACATTGTTCTTATTACAGATTGTGCCCCACTAAAAGAGGCCACAAGTTCTATAAACCCTTCAAATTAAGGGCTAAAACCCTGGGTGAAAAAGGAAAGGCTTTGCCTGGTGCCTAAAATAGATAAAAAGTTGGTGCAAGCCTCCCTAGGAGAGCATCCATTCTCTTCATTTTTGGAAACTTAAAAAAGTGTTTGTTTTTAACTTTGCAGTGCACCCAGCTGCCCTGTAAGCAACGCACAATTGTTGGTGAGCCCCAGGCACTCACCATCTTTGAATGGGCAGAGGCATATATACATATTAATTAGCATGTGCCAATATTATGCAAATGTTGTCATGAGGCTGGGTCCCACGCCTGTGTGATGCCACTGATGAAGCTCCCTTTATCTGCTAGTGTTCAAGCCCCAGGCTCCACCTTGTTATACGTGTGCACAAATAGAGTATTGCTTTCGTTGAAAAGATCATGTATGGCATATGTCGTGTTCCCAATGGGCCTTGGACTTCACAGTTGTTCTAAGGGGCAGCGTGCTTCTCTCAGGCTCTCAACGCATTTCTTTCTTTCCCGATTTCCATAACAGATTCTTCAGGAATTGGAATACGGTCCCTCGGTCGATTGGTGGGCGCTGGGTGTCCTCATGTACGAAATGATGGCTGGCCAACCCCCCTTCGAAGCTGACAATGAAGACGACCTCTTTGAATCCATCTTGCATGATGATGTGCTATATCCAGTGTGGCTTAGCAAAGAAGCTGTTAGCATTTTGAAAGCTGTAAGAGATTGTCCCTTTCTCTCCCCCCCTCTCTCCCCTGCTCTTCCTTATTAAATTTGACTCTCCTTCCCTTTTCACTACAGCAGTTTAAGAGCAGCCACCACTGGGAGTTCAACTGCAGTTCAGAGTGCTACTGTCCGTATAAGGGGGTCTGGAATGAATTACGTTTCTTGTGGGAAAGGGACAAAATGTTTGTGTTCTTTGTGGCTGTATGCTGCATCAATGTGCACTTGAGAATCATGTTTCAGGGAAAAGGAAAACACAAGCAGACTAAATGGCCTTATCAGGCTGACATTGCCAACTGCACATGTCTTGCTACGGTAGGGGAAGGGTTATGTAATTCAAGAAACTCAGCCTGCAGTTTTGCTTTGGGCCCTGATCCAAAACACTGGAACGGACTATGGATCCTAGCCACATTGACTTAGAAATAAGTCCTGTTGGTTTCAGTGGGACCTAACTCCCAAGAAAGCCTGCATAGGATTGTGTATCCTCTCTGCAAAATTCATTTAATTTCAAGATTATTATTATTATTATTATTATTATTATTATTTTATATTTATATACCACCCTTCATCAAAAGATCTCAGGGTGGGTTACAAGATAAAACTTCAAGATAAAAGCGCAAAGTTAAACCAGAAGCAACAAACAATAATAATAATAATAATAATAATCATAAATGTGTTGTACCCCATCTATCTGACTGGGTTGCCCCAGTTGCTCTGGGTAGCTTCCAACAGAATATAAACAACACAAGATGCACTAGACATTGAGAGCTTCCTGATAAAATTAAAGATAGCTAAACTACTGTTTTTCCACCAAACAGCTTATCCAGGTCTATCATTCATTCTTAGTGTTGAGTACCAACAGGTTCCTACAAGGAGCCCTGCAGGTCAGACACCAAATCCCTACCATGGCTGCTCGTCAGAAAAGTGCAGGCATTTTAAGCTGGAAATACCAGCACACACTGGGTTCTAGGAAGGAAAAAATCCCAAGCACCCCAGTCCTGTGCAACCAGCTCTCTAGAACCCCAACCTTTCCCTTTGCTTCTGTCTCAGCTGTTCGACTGCTCTTCTACCCTACTGTCTTCCCTGTTTCTCATCGCCTCTGCTCCAAGTACTTGGGCATCTGGGCCTGGAATGCTAACAGCCTGCTGCTGTCCATGTCTTGCATGCCATGCCTTGGGCCACAAAGCTGCTAACCATTTTCTTAAAAAAAAAAAGTTGTGACCAGAAATGCAGACAAATTTTGACCCCAAATGAAGCAACGCTGCTTCAAAGAGAAGTTTCAGCTCCCCACGTGGAGCCCACCAAAGAGACTTCCGTCCATCCAATCACTGGCATAAAAACTTCCCACGCAATTGGAGCATGGCAAACTATTGGCAAACATTCTGCTTGTTGCATAGAATGTTGCCCGCCCCTTGAGGAACCTTGGATGACCTAAATAGGGGCCTGAACCATTTGAAGTATCCCTAACTCCCACTGATTTCATGGGGGTCTGGAAAAACCCGATCCTATGGGTGGCATTCACTGTTGCGCTATTACTAACATTCTCTGCGCAAGCATTTTTGCTTGTCAGATGGAGCAGCGCCTCCCCTTCTCCCCACCCACTGAACCGATTTCAGGGGGCGCTGTAGTGGTGGGAGGAAACGAGAGAAAGTCCTTTTGCACAAGTGGAAGTCCTTGCACAGGCCTTCGACTAACAGGATGTGCTAAGTGAAACCCAGAACCAAAAGAGTTGCATCTCGCACAACACATATGAAGGATTCTGGCCTTTTGCATTTAGCTCTCCCCACCCCACACCCCAAGGAAAAAAAAGAAGTTTTAGGCTTAGCTTTGTGTTTGAAACTTGTGTTCTTCGCCTTGTACTTTAACGGCATGCAGTTAACAGAGGAGCAGGAAGAACAGAGGAAATGAAGGGGCGCCTATGTACTTGACTGCCGAAAATTAGCAAGGGATTAGCTTTGGAACGCTTTGTTTCCTCGCATTGTACTGTTAGACATGCGTTTTGTTCGTCAGGCACTGTAAATCAGAGTCTTATTAAGTCGTTGAAAAGCATTTCTTTTAGCAGCTTTTGCAGAATGGACCTTGCTTTCTATTCAGCTGATTTTCTATGCAGTTTGTTTCTGTTTTCCAGAAACGTTTTATAATCTCAGCAACCCCAGATGCTTTGAAATCAAAAACTATGAGAACCTGGAATTTAATTTCTCCAAGCCCAAACTAAAATCCTTGTTGGCAGAGATCCCATTTTGCAGCAGAGGCTTCTTGACAGTACACACAGCCCTAAAGTTATTTTTAAAAATGTTTAAATATCTTGTGACTTCTGGGAATTCAAACCCTTTTTTGTTTTTGTTTTTCCTAAGGCTTAGGCTTGCTTCCCTTCAAAATGAGAATAATATGAGGAAGGTGAAGCCATAGCTTTATATCTGTTGCATGCAGAATATCCCAGGCTCAAACCCCAGCATCTCTGGTTGAACAGGAGTGGGGAACCTCTGACTTTGGAGATGGGTGTTTGGCTCCAGCTCCCCTCAGTCCCAGCCAGCATGGCCAATGGTCAGGAATGATGGGATTTGTAGTCTTAACAACATCTGTAGAGTCCAGGTTCCCCATGCCTGGGATAAAGGATCCCATGCAGTAGACCTGGGATCAGTATATCCACCTGAGACCTTAGAAAGCTGCTGCCAATCAGAATAGACAGGGACTAGCTTATTTATGGAAGGGACGCGGGTGGCACTGTGGGTTAAACCACAGAGCCTAGGACTTGTCGATCAGAAGGTCGGTGGTTCGAATCCCTGTGTCGGGGTGAGCTCCCATTGCTCGGTCCCTGCTCCTGCCAACCTAGCAGTTCAAAAGCACATCAAAGTGCAAGTAGATAAATAGGTACCACTCCGGCGGGAAGGTAAACGGTGTTTCCGTGCGCTGCTCTGGTTCATCAGAAGCAGCTTAGTCATGCTGGCCACATGACCCGGAAGCTGTACGCTGGCTCCCTCAGCCAATAAAGCGAGATGAGTGCCGCAACCCCCGAGTTGGTCACGACTGGACCTAATGGTCAGGGGTCCCTTTACCTTTACCTAACTTATTTATGTATCAGTTGTTGTTGTTGATGATGATGATGATGATGATGATGATGATGATGAAAAGTCTTGCCCTGAGTTAGATGAGCCAGTGGCCTGATTTGGTAAAAAGTTGTTTCCTATGTTCCTACAATGAGGACCTTACAGTTTGCCTGGAGAGCTCAGCTCCTTAGCCAGAGGGATGAATTTCGGGGTATTAAACCTGGGACCTTCTACATGCAAAGCACCATGCCACAGCAAGTTACACAGAAGCTTTTACCAGACAGAAGGGGAAGGTGGCTTATTTTCAGTGCTATAACAAAGTAGCTTATTCTCTGCCATGCATCTTTCTTTTCACAGCTTCAGGCATTAAACTTTTAGACCTTAAAATTCAACATGTGCATGCAACAAATGGGTGCTTGGAAACAGGTACACTCATCTGATAGCTGGGATTGGCTTTGGTCCATTGCCAGGTAGTGTCTTCAGTGGTCTAATTATGTATGATGAAGACTTATTTGAAAGACGTCTCCTGCTAGCCTACCCTTCGTTGGTACCCAACAGGGAGTAAAAGGATGCGGTGGTTGCTGATTGAGGCAGCAGAAAGAGCAGCTCAGACTGAATATTTTTGTGGGCCTTCTCTGCTTTCTTGACCCGTTGACTCAGAAAGAAAGAATCATAGCGTTGGAAGGGACCCTCAGGATCATCTAGTCCAATCCCCTGCAATTCAGGAATATGCAGCTGTCCCTTACAGGGATCAAACCTGCAACCAGCACCACACTCTTGCCCAGGGGTTGGCAACGTGCGGCCCATGGGCCAGATTTAACCTACAAAGACCGTTTTACCGGCCCCTGAGCCACCCCCGAACTGAGCCACCTGCTTGGCGAGTCCCCCGTGCGCTGCGCTAAACTGGCGCAGCATGGTGCAGGGACTCGCCAACCGGTGCTAGAAATCGTGTCTGCACATGCGCAGATACCACAAATCACTTCTGCGCAGGCGCGATTTTCAGCATCTGGGCATGCACAGAAGCGATTTCCGGTGCCACGGACATGGACAGACGTGATTTCTGGAGTCGCACTGTGCCGGTCCAGCCCACAGACGATCTCCATGGGAGTGATCCGGCCCATGGCCGGTAAGCCTTGCCAACCCCTTCTCTAGCCAACTGAGCTATCCAAGAACTTGTTGCTCCTTGTTGCTTCATTGGTTCAACTTCCCACTATGCAACAAATGTTTGGTACCTTTTGTTTTTCCTCTAGTTCATGACAAAAAACCCAAATAAGCGACTCGGCTGTGTGGCATCTCAGAACGGCGAAGATGCGATTAAGCAACACCCTTTCTTTAAGGAGATTGACTGGGTTCTTCTAGAGCAAAGGAAAATCAAGCCGCCCTTCAAGCCTCGGATTGTAAGTAGTGCTTTGACTCTGTGCAAGAGACCTTGGTTGAAAATATAACAAAGTTTATTGGTGTCCTTTATAATAGTAAGACTCTAATCCTATACAGATTTACCTGGAAGTAGGTCCCACTAAACTCAGTGGGCCATACTTCAGAGTAGAAATGTATAGAATTGCACTGTAATGCTGCAGTAGAGTTGAAAGCCCAGGTAGCAACCATTTTAAGGTGGTTGGTTTCTTCCAAGGTAAGTCTCAGGTTTGCTTATTGTATGCTGAATGTGAAAATGGTCATTATGTATTCCTTACAAACACAAGAACTAATGGAATCAATTATTTTAAAGCCAGTGTGGTGTAGTGCTTAAGAGCAGTGGACTCATAATCTGGTGAACCGGGTTCGATTCCCTGATCCTCCACGTGCAGCTGCTGGGTGACCTTGTGCTAGTCACACTTCTTTGAAGTCTCTCAGTCTCACTCACCTCACAGAGCGTTTGATGTGGGGGAGGAAGGGAAAGGAGATTGTTAGCCGCTTTGAGACTCCTTAGGGTAGTGATGAAGCAGGATATCAAATCCAAACTCTTCTTCCAAACTCTTCTAAAGTGAGTCCACAGATTAAGTCACCTGGATTATAACTTGCCTCACTTGATAGCCTAACAATCTAAAATCATTGTTCTTGGTTGTGAAGTGATCAGCCATCATATCCCATTGCCGCTTATAATATCACCGCTGAAGGCACAGCAAAGGTCGCTGTGTACTGACTGAGCATTAATCTGAACAAGTATATATAAATAAAGATGAATGTAAAAGAAGCCTAAGAAGACTTCATCATGATCATCCATTTGAGTAGGCATATGTATGAGATTTCCACTGCAAGAATATTTAAGAATGCTTTAAAGCAAACATATCTCTAAACAAAACAGAATAGGGAAATTATTGTTATTTCTTTCCTCCCTGGGGAAAATATATATATATCTTTTTTCCCCTTTTTTTACTATTTGGACGCTGAAAATGTATGCACTGCCTGGAAGTTTAATCCTTGATGGTTCTGCCTGTGTTGAGTCTCGTGTTTTGACTCTGTTTCCCAGTATTCCACAGGGGAATGTTTCTGCACCATGTTCCTTTTTCAAAAACAAGCCTTGGAAAACTTCAGGCTTCCCACACTGCATTGCAATTTTTCGGATATATGATGGAGTGTCTCAAACAGTGTCAACTAGTGAGCTAGCTTCTAATGCCTTGAAAACAGAACCTCGGAGGATTAATTTTTGCCACCTGGTGCTTGAGCTATCTTCCTCTGGAGGCCTTGGTAGACTCTATAATGCAGTAAAGCCTGCCACCCATTCTGTTGCTATGCAGATAGCATTAATATATGATCTTTTAAACACCTTGACAACTGAGTGCATGTCCAATATTGCCTTTAAAAAAAATCTTCCAAATAGGGAGCTGATCATCAAATGTTGAGCAAGTCACCCAGATTCATCTTTTTTCAAAATCGCCCAGTTTCAGCTCTCACACAATGGAAAGTGTTCTTGCCTTCAGATTCTCAAATCATGTAGTGTTGAGTGATGAGAGACTACAGCAATGCATATCATTTATTTATTTATTTATTTACCTGCTACTTTATTGCTTCAAGCTGATGCATCTAAGTAGTATATAGTAAAATCATTATACAAAATCAGTAGGTAAGATACAAAACAGGCTAAGATATATGCACCTGTGAAGCCCCACCCCCCAGAATTATACTCAGTTCTTTCCTTTTATTTTTTTAAACCCAGTTTGAATTCTGAACCATTTTATTTTATTTGTTGAAGTACTGAATACTGATGCCATTTAACTGTGAGCACCTCTGCTCATTCTGTTCTTTTCTCACGCACACTGCCCCCCCCCCCAACTTCATGAAAAACTTTCAGGGGGGGAGCAGGAGCTAAACTCAGTGCTCCAAATGAACTCACTTTCATTTCCCTGCAATTGTTCCCTATTTTTTCCTATGCAAGCGTCAGATGAGGCACGTCATTCCCTGGCTACTGTCCATGCATTCTTTTATTTTCCCTCTTGCACAATTCCTCATTATTATTAATAACAATACTTAAGTCATAGCACTGACTCCAGCCCTGCCAGGGGAGGAGAAAAGGGCTGCACAAACTTGGATGTGCCATGCATCTCTTCCAGTGAGCTGCTGAACTGGAATGCACACAGGAGTGGCTTCCTCTGCTGGAGAACATAACTTCAGGCAGTTCCCTGTCTCCACTGGGTATGCATTCTAAACGTAGGCCCAGGTCATTTATGCATCTCACTGAATCTTCCACTGAGCATCTCCATGAGATAGCCTACAAGTAAGGGCTCTTGTCCAGGGTGGAATATTTTGACACCAAAGAAAAATGACAAAATGGCTGGGGAGGAAGTGAGGCTAGCACAGGCATCCCCAACCTTTGGCCCTCCAAATGTTTTGGACTACAATTCCCATCATTCCTGACCACTGGTCCTGTTAGCTAGGGATTATGGGAGTTGTAGGCCAAAGCATCTGGAGGGCCAAAGGTTGGGGATGCCTGGGCTAGCCCATGACCCCAAAGCACATAGGCCATTATCAAAGCTGACCTGTAGGCAGTGACCAGAGGCAGGAGTGGCTACAGTTCACCTCTGACCAGGAGTGGCTGGCAGGAAGGAGGAATCAGAAATAATAAGTGCCAAAGCTATCAGTAGCAAAATGTTGTTCTAGGGCAAGGTTTCCCAAACTTGGGTCTCCAGCTGTTTTTGGACTACAATTCCCATCATCTCTGGCCCTGCTAGCTAGGGATGATGGGAGTTGTAGTCCAAAAACATCTGGAGCCCCAAGTTTAGGAAACCCTGATCTAGGGTGACCAAAAATCAGGTTAGAATTTAATTAGGCGCAGACCTAGTTCTCAGTGGCTTCCATTCATTCCTAAATGAGCTGCAATTGGCAAGGCAGCTTGGAAGGGGCAAATTAATTGGGAACTAGGAGAACGCTTGCCAAAGGAGGGTGGGACTTGTTCCCAATTACTTAATAATAATTCCATAATATGTTAAAAAAGAAGAAGCTGTTATTCAGTCCTATAGAAGAAAGCAAAGGGCTACATTGCAAGGAGGCATCTTTTCCAGCTCTGACATTGGTTGACCTGGTCTCCACTGAAATGAACCCCACGGGGAACATGGAATACATTGTACACCCGCTGGGGTCCTTGCAGTCTATGAGCTCTCTTGCTCTCTGTCTTTCTGGCTCTTGGTCTTCTCCATTTCAGTCTCCCTACAGTGCAAACACTGCTTTGGATATCATATTTAAAGAGTTAACAAGGCTTTTCCATGTGTGAAAAGGTATGTTGTCAGCTGGCCTCTGGCCAGTTTCTGAGTCCCATTGAAAGCCATTCCCTGCCGTTACTTATTCAGACAAGACAGCTGTGCATGATTTGCAGACTTGGGAGCCGTTCATGAGAGTGACATTGTATTCTACAGGGATGGGATTAAGATCAGTTCTAGGGAACCATTCTGTGTAAAAAGAGAGAGAAAGAGTCCTTAAAGCTAATCCGTGGAGCAGCAGTGTAATCCTATGCTGCGTGAGCAGGTTTCATTTCTTCATCCTTCACTTTCAGTAAGGCTAACACACTGGACACTATGCAGGCAAGAAGAATTGCGCAAGTACCAGGTGCTCCATCAAGTCATTTAGGGTTTATATGTTAGCATCTTGAATTGGGCCCAGTAACATAATGGCAGCCATTGTTACTTGCTCAGAATCAGTGTTGTATGATTCCCATTGTTCCAACTTTCCATTGAGGTCAAGTAGACATAGGAGTGCTTAACATGGGTTGGTTCAACATACCTCCACATGTGGTGGGAATGTCCCAAAACCCAACTCTTCTGGACAGCAATCATACAAGAAATATGCAAAATAACTAAGCAAGTATTAGAAGTCACCCCAGAACTGGCCCTACTAAACATCTTCCAAGATAATAATTCCCACTCACATCATAAAGAGCTCATAACCCACCTACTCTCAGCAGCCAGAAACATCATAGCCAGACACTGGAGAAATCTGTCAGGAGTAAATATGGACCAATGGTACCAAATAGTATGGTAAACAGTCTTATTAGAAAAACTAACCAATTAACTGAAACTGAAACGAGGACAAATAGAAGAAGATGCCTTCACCCCAGTATGGCTCCCCTTTATCACATACACAGCCCAACAGGACAACGACAATAATCTGCCAAAAGTATACAAATCAGTCTGGCTAACCTGATTCAGAAATACACACACACCGCTCACATACAAAAACAAATCTCACTACAGCCACCCAAAGACAACCAACCACAACCTAGGCCACCACCAACCTCTCTCACCATCAAGGAAACACAACAAATCTCTCTTCCCCTCTTTTCTTCCTCACCTAACATTGTATGTAACACTAATGTCTCACAACAAATGAAACTGAATTCTAGGAAACACAACTTGAAAAAAGAGACAACACAAGTGTTTTTGTACAATAAGAAATATTTAATAAAAATATTTGTACAAAGAAAGAAAGAAAGAAAGAAAGAAAGAAAGAAAGAAAGAAAGAAAGGTTCATTCTGTTAGTAAATACCATGGGACCCGATATCATTTCTTTATGATTCTTTGACACTCAACATAGAGTGGGAGTGGCTCTTTGGGTACCCCCCCTTCTGGCCCACAGACCTTGCCCCTTCCTCAGGTGAGAGAGGAACAAACAAAGGTGGCGTGTTGACTACTTGCTTGGAACAGCAAGTAAACCTAACCTAAAAGGCTTCAAAGGGATTGTGTACTGTTCAGCTCCCTGTTATAGCTCCCAAGCTGCTGTATGCAGGAGCCGGGTGTGGTGATGTGCCAAGTAGCACAAAGAGTATGAACATCTGTACCACATGGCCCAGCCAGGCCTATTGATGTGAAGATGCCTCCTTATTGTCTTGTCTTGTCTTCCTGTTTGGCTAACTGAGGTCCATCTCAGTTCAGACGTTTTTACCGACACATTTACCTGCAATGTATACAGG